TTGGCGATGCAGTCATATTAAACTAATCAATATCTTAATAGCGTTCTCCATTTTTGGATATCTCTTTTAGTTTCCGAGATATTGAGTAAAAAGTGTCGTTAATTTGGTAGAAATTTTGATCGCATTTTGTCGTATTTTGTCGGATATGTTTTTGACTATTTTATTGTTTGTTTTCGCCTTCTTTTCTAAAATGATGCCCAAATGTCCATAGTGCATAATTTCAGGCTCTTTTAAAGAATATTGGCATTATTTAAAAAAAAAATGTACAAGTAAGTTTTTGTACTGAAAGAATCATTATATTAATTTGTAATAGATTGTACACTTTGTTGATGAGAATGATCTACTAGCATTCAGACAACCTTTCCAACCACACTCTGCGGTTTGTACTACGATAGTATAAACCAAGACTTCAAGGGTTGTGCTCCCCTATAAAAAATCACGAACTTTTCTCAGCCACCAGAGGGAGTTTCACAATATCCTACGCTCAAGATTACTGGATATTGCCACAGGATGGCCTTGATTGCCTATGTTTGAAAGTAAGTCTGATGTTTGAGCTAATAAAAAATTTTTTATTTCTAAAGTGTTACTGAGCTTTGCACCACAATTTATTATTAGCAAAAATAGAAAAAGCAACAAAGTGAATGCGGAAGAAGTTATAGCTACTTCTTTTATAGACTTCACCAGGGTTCGACATCGCATCAGTCCCGATGTAGAGATACAGAGATGGCGCATTCAGCAGTATGGCTACTTTTTCCAGGATAATTTGACGGAATCAGCTTTTCGTGTGACGTCATAACAAAAATATTCGAGCTAAGTTTGTTCTCGTGTAGATGAACACAACTGCGATTTATTTACAAATGGCGACCGATGTTTTGTTTTCTTTCCTTTATCTCTCGGACTCGTTGCTATCGTGACGTCATCATCCGCAATCATTCTTGGCATCATTGATGAGCAAAGTCAGCTTAAGCTGTTCACCTTCAATTAAGTAAAAACATTTACCATATAGTATATTCGACGCTTACAGTTTTTCCAACGAATGGTAAATTCTTATGAGGACGCTTTTTTATGGCAGAATCACATTGGGAGGTATTCGCTACACAATTATAATTTTCCGTTGATCTAGAATTGAATTAAAATTGAAGAAATTCAAAGATTCCGAACTTACCGCTTCGCCGACGATCATTTTGAGTCTGGCGAAATACATAAATATGCCTGCAGGGACGATGAGGAGGTGGATAGGTGGTGCTCTGGTAAGGTCAAGACTTGTTATTTTTAATAAACATGCTTTTCGGTGTTTAGCTTATCGCGACTCTGTGGACGTCCGATGGCGCTATCATTTGGGAAATTGAGTGAAATAACAAGAGCTCGTTTATTGTGACTGTTTACTTAGCTTTTAATCCATTTTAATTTTGCAAAGGACAAATACCATATCTTTATACAATTTGCATGTATACATTAGGGCGGATCAATTTGTATGTGAGATTTTTTCGACTATGTGCTATGTGTCTAAAATCCATTTGGAGTTTGTTAAATTGCGAAATTAGGTTTCTTAGAATTTTGTTGTGGTGTTGTAAAGGAATGCTTAAATTTCAATTTTCAATCCATTTCTGCACTTATATTTTTTTTTAGAATTTACACATAAAATTTAAAATTTAAAAATTTTCTTTGAAACCAATTTTTGCAATTTGGCGACCTCAAATTGATTTTAGACCCTTGGATTATGCGGCAAATTTGCTTAGAATACACGTAGAATTCTCCTATGACCCGTCTTAATGTATATACATGTTTTTCCCACAAATAAATTGGTAGAAAAAAAACAGTTCGATTCAGAGTTAACTCCTCTTACATATTTATATACCTTAAATTTTTGCAGCAAGTTGGATAACCTTAGGCTAGTCATCAATGAGTTGCAATCACCTTGCGGTAAAAGCTATTAGTCCTGTTATTGGTCAGTTAAGCTAACTTACCCTAGCGAATTGTACATAACGGGGTTAGTCTGCTAGTCAGACATCGCTATAGAGACCTCGTCACAGTATTAAACATTTACCGTTTTAAGGCAGTGTCACACGATTGGGAATTTGCTCAAAATTTGGTGCAAATTGTATCCGAGTCGTGTGAATGAACAAATATTTTTCTTTATCCCAACCATGAAAAACAATATTTTCAAATTTTTCAATAGATGTTCGCTGTATTTTACTAATCGTGTGACAAAAAAAAAAAAAAATTACCCTCCCTTTTTTTTTATTTTGTACCAATAGCCCAATATAACGAATGTACAATATAAAAATATAACAATGGCTCTTGAGAAGAAATATAAGACAATAATACATATGAAACTCACCCGAGATCAACAACTTTTATGTTGCCTTAGCGATTTTCGCTGTTGCTACTGGGGCATTTGCTTTGGCTTTTAAAGTCGTCGATTTCAATGCCGATTTCGCCGATTTCGCCGATTTCGCTAATTTCTTCACGCATTATTACTCATCAACCATTAATCTCTTTGCATTAAGTAGACGCTTTACTATTTAAATAAAAACACATGTGTACAGCTGCATTTTTTCAAATATTTTTATTTTGATGGTACCATTAGATATAATAATTATATGGATCATACAGAATTTTTCGATAGCTTTGAGCTGACAAAAAGTACGTACGTATTTCGTGCACAAATATTGCAATAAAACTACTTAAATATCCATGTTTCTTTTGCAGTGCAATCTTATACAAATATGTATATACTTATATATGCCCGTACAAATGCGAATATTTTGTTGAAAAACCTTGCTACAATATATTTTACTTAGTACGTCTGTATGTAAAGGTTTATCATTTTAGTGTAGTTCATTCGATTTGCTGCGCAATATTATTGTTGTTATTGTATAAAGTCGTTAAGATTTGTTTATTTGATGAGCAATTATTCTTTGAATGTTTTTCTCTAGATTTATTATTTATTATTGCCCTCTATTTTGGCGTTGAAAAGTAGTTATGTATTTAGTACTCCGAATTTGTTGTTATTTTTATCGTAAGTTTTATTTTTATTTTTAATTGTTATGCATTACTAATGACTGTGGGTGTGTGCTTCGCATTATAGTGAGTTTCTTGCTTTAGTGCGCTTGTTTGAATTAGAGCGATTAATAAATTATTTTGGTTGAGTTGCAGAGAAAAAATTTGCCAAAAGGTATATTTCCAGTTGTTTTCATATTTATTTTAATAAATACTTATTTCATTTTATTTTTGTAACCAATAGATTTTATATACATAAAAACATATTATTTCGGATAAATAAAGCAGCTGCACTTATTTTTTTAATGATACTTGATTTATTTTGATTAAGCTAAATCTTTCTAAGAGACTTGAAACCGAATATTTAGAGTTGTGAATTTTTATATTTACTTTCTTAATGTATTTATGTATACTCTTAGCTACTTAGGATTTAAGGAATGTTTGTACATGTGAACCAAGAAGCAAAATTAAATTTTAAAATTAAATCAGGTATTTACAAGACGTAAACTAACTAACTTCATATGTACACACACATTTAATTGATGTATAGGAAAATGGACTAATTTGGTTTTTGGAAAGCATGCAGTTCTAGGTATTAAATGGCAGTCAATTATCATAAAATCAATACATTTTAAGATCAAGAAAAAATATGCTTTTGAATATAGATTTTGATATGGGTATTTCCAATCTGGTGTAACGTGACCTAGTTTAAAAAAAATAAAATGAAGAAGTCAATACTTTGAAAATGGATTTATATATTTGCATAGTATGTAATTATGTAGCCTTTTATTACGTAAAATAATGACAACAACTGATAGCAGAGATTTAAAGATATACGAAAACATATGCGCTGGCATGACGTTACAAAAACGGAAATGTGTTTAGACTTGCTATCTCGAACTGTGCGAAATCTATACCTTGAACAGATTTGGATCAAAGCAAATTAGATCATAGACGAACTGGCGTAGGAAAGGTCATCGTCTGTGCTTTTAGGACCGGATACATTTTACAGACTCATTTTCGCACTTTGGAGACTTGCAATTTCCGAATGAATAAATTCAGAACGCAGTAATTGCATCGAAGGTATAGGAAGCCTTAGTGTGGTCGGGCTCTTTGGGTTATATTTTATTAGAACGGATATCGAATATATTTATATATATATTATAATTTCCAAAGATTTTTGAATGCAAGCAAAATACATGTTTTGTCTCGGAGAAAATGAATTGCTTCTATGCGGGGCCATAGTAGGAACAAAAGTTGCCAAGTTAAAACTGAGTTTTTTTTTACAATTGGCCACATCACTTTACCTTAGGCTGTTGATAGAGTAGGCTTCATCAAGGCCAAACTTTCATGCAAGTACTAACTTTCACCTAACATGTGCATTTTGGATTATCTAATTATCTACTAAATCCAAAGCCAATTCATTGATTGAATAGTATCGCTTTAAGACTTTCAATGCTTTTACTGCCCACTCTGTTATCAGCCTAACGACAAGAATTCTTTCTCTAAAAAAATTAAATTATGATATTTGTCTAGTAAAATAATACCGAGCCACAAAAGGAAACCGAGGTGTAGTTTCTATAGATCCGCATCAAACACTCTAATTCGAAATTGTAAGGAAACTTTACTTCCAGATACGATTTGATCTTTTAGCCAAAGTGACTTCGAGAGATCGCTTAGAGGTAATTTAAAGGTCAATTATTTCTTTTCAATCTCTTGACTTATATTTAGGCTAGGAATTGGTGTCAGATTCTGCGCTTTGACTTTATTTTACCTAGATCTAGGCGTGAGGGAGTAATTTGAAAACGAGGATCGTGATACGCGACCGAAATTTTTGGGTCCCAAGAACGCATGATTCAGCTGAGTTCAGAGATGCTCCTTCCGACTTCCCTTTGTAGCTCTGTGAAATCTGCAACTGCGTGTCTTATGAGTGTGTTTTTTTTAGGATTTTACTTATAAGAAAAAATGGTGGCCTACATTTGGAATAGAATTTTTATTTTTTTCCAATTAGTGATTCTAAAATACTTTATTAAATAATTAAATTGCTGTGAGTTTACATCCGATATGAAAATGATACTTATCACAGATTTTGTTTGATGCAATCGAATAAGAAAAAAAAACAAAAATTTTGTTTTAACGCATTTAATAGCGTAAGTGCGCAATTATGAGTGTGTGTGTGTGTGCGTGTGCTTAAATAAAGTCGCCTTAAATTCTTGCATTCATGGAGTCGCCAATACAAAATTTATGTGTGTGTGTGACTGTGTACGGACGCTCTAATACGATATTATTTATAAATAGCTCGGCTTATGTATTTAATGTTTACTTCGCTTGTCTCTTTCGATTTCTATGCGCACACTAATACCCAAATGCATGGGAAAAACTTTCTACTACGGATTATATGTACGTTCATGTACGTCAGTTCAACGCAAACCAACAACAACAACAAACTCTTGAACTCTCGAACTGTCAACTAACTACTCGTGTGATATATGTATGTATGTATTAGTGGCATAGGCAAAACCGCCCATAATTCTTTGGCCCTCAATATGCTCTATGTTGAACGAGTATGTATGTATGTATGTATGCTGAACACTTTAACGGTATCTAAAACTCTACGCTGCGCGCCTTTGAAGGCAATCACCGCTTAGTGCTTTCAACGCCTTGCATACTGACAGCAGACAGCGCTGCGAGGCACTCGTTGTGTCGGCAGACCGGATATGCCCTTCAGATACGTATAGGAGACAGGCTGCCGAAGTATACGCTGCGGCGGTGGCTTTGTCTTGCCTTTCGATGATGACTTTGATGTCGACGACGACGACGACGACGAACTGCCAGCTGCTGACGACGTTAGCTGTAAACTCGATGCCGAATATGACGTATGCCAGGCGCCAATGACACCACCACCACCACCACCGGCTTGCAATTTTCTATTCAATTCAACATTGGAATTATATTTGAGTGCCGATTTGATGGGCGTGTTGCCGTTGTCGGAGCGTTGTGCCGCCTGCTGTGCGTTTACGGGCGTGTTAGCAGCAGTTGGTGTCGCACCGCTGCATGAAAGTGAACGCGTTGACAATGAGAAACTTTCGAATGCGCGTCGCAAGGAAGATGTGGAGCGACGTTGAAGGCGTGAGAAGCTGGCGCGTGCACTGGAGCGTCGCTCTTTGGTTGGTGACAATTTGGTGGCGGTGGTGGTGGCGGTGGTGGTGGCGGCATCCGCTTTTGGTGAACACATTTGTTGTTCTTGTGATTCCTCAATGTCGGCAGTGCTGCTCGTCTCACTGGAGGCGCATGAAATATGCTCACTGCTCGAGCCGTGGCCGTCCTTCAGGCACGCGCCGTTGCTAGTGTGTAAGTGTGCTCCACTTTTGCCGCTAATGTTGCTATTGAATGAATTTGGCGCGCATAACGATGACGTCGTCGATGCACCGGTCGAACGCTGCATTGGCGGCAATGCGCCCGTAGTCGAGGAGCACGAATCGGTCGAGTCATCTTCGGCAGCATTAAAAACTGGGTCATCGCTGGAGCGCAGCAGTCCAAAACGGCGGCTGAGTTGATGAAAGAAGCTAATATTGCGTTCGTAGCGTGGAGTTGGCGATATGCTGTGCGCGCTGTTAGCACCAGGCGATAGGCTGCATGGCGGCATGTCCTTGTTTGGGTCGGCTTGTTGCGTCATTGCTGAAGGGGAGTCGGCGGCGGTGGCAGCATCAACAGCAGCATCACTTAATTCACACAGTGTTTCAATTTGGTTGCTGGTGGTGGCTAACGGTGAGACGTTTATGGGCGGAGTGGGTTTTCCGTACTGCGGCAGGTCAGCGAAACAGACATGCAAAGTGCCCATTGCGTTGTGGTTTACACTAGAGTTACTCAATCAGTTTTTACTGTCTTTATAATAAAAAAAAGGAAACGGTCTTGGCACTAAATGTTTTTTTTACAGTCTAATTTTCACCTTAACAAATTTTTATTTTGTTTTTAAATTCAGCATTCAACAATGCAATGTTTTTTTTTTTCACCATCCGTTGAGAGGACTTTCTATTTTTTCTTACAATTGCATTCTTTGTTTGTCTCTTATATAGTAGAGCGTGTCTTTGTTTGATTTATGTTGTTGTCTAGCGCGTGCTGCCGGTTTTATTTTCTACGTGTAAACACTGACGCTTTCCTGCAGCGTATGAAATTGTTTGCGGCATGCGGCTTCTTTATATAGCTTTGGCCGGCGCGCGCTGCAAGTCTGCAAAACATCTGCAAGGGAAACTTTCCGTTGACACTCTTTGATGCTCTCGAAAATTTCCGCTCTCTCGCTGTTTATTGTGTAACTGGGGTGGAGGATTTAGGCATTTATGAGAGAATTGTTCGCTTGTTGGCTTATTAAAAGTACTATTGGTTACTGCGTTGTTCTCTATCTAGAGTTGCCACCAATATTCTCTATACCAAGCAATTTTGTAAGTAACCAGAAACTGGTTAGAAATATTGCGAAATTTATTAAGAACTAAAAATTGCTTAGCATTGGAAATTTCTGTTCAAAGTAAGAGGCGAGTCCATCAGATATTTTTAATAGATCCGTTAGAAAAAAAAATGGTAAATCAATGCCAATTTATAGCCACTTCAAATTTGCACATTTTTGTGCTAAAACAATGGGCTATGAAACTCCATACTAGTTTTTATTATTAATTTAGGCTGTTTAATTTTTATTTGGCAAAGTCTTTTATTTTTTACAAAAAAAAAAAAAAAAATATTTGGCTTGGTTTAACTGACTAAAACAAAATTAGTCAGTTTTTTACAGTTAATATGATATTTTTTCTAAAATTCCTTGTTGAAGATATCATGAAAATTTTTAAGCTCTGACTTTAATATTTTCCTTATGATGTATTGAACAACAACGTTAATGGAATGACCTAAATCCCCTCGCGCTATAAGAGTAATTCTCAGGGCACTCAGCCATTCTGAGGATCAAGTTAATAATGCGGAATGGAGATTTGAATTTTTCGCATTTTTTTGTACTAGCTGTCTTTGCAATTAACTATATTGTGCGAAAATTTTAAGGCAATCAAAAGAAGATAAGAAAGAATTTCGTGAGTATTTAGTTTTCGAGAATTGAGAGTGTTAAGAATATGTAGAATACAATACTTTCTTTATGTGCTGAACGCTGATTCGAAAGTTTAGCTGACATTGCAGAAATAAATTCTGTATGTTTTTTCCTCGCTTGAAAAAATATTCTGCCGTGAATTAAAAATATTCGTTGCACAAATTTCTTTTCCTAGGCAAAAGCTCTAGTTTCCGCTTTGGTTAAAATTTGACCAGAAATAATTTTTCTGCGTTTTGTGAAAAACTGATAAATTTGTGTTAATTCACTTTTGAAGAACGTCTTAGCACCCCGTCCAGTAGCACCCCTGCGCGTGCGCAACCGCATTCTTATATTGATACTGATACGGATACTCATATTTATATTTATATTCATATCCTTATTCATATTCATATTCATATTCATATCCATATTCATATTCATATTCATAATCATATTCATATTCATATTCTTATTCATATTCGTATTCGTATTCATATTCATATTCATATTCACATGCATATATTCATATTCATATTCATATTCATATTCATATTCATAGTCATATTCATATTCATATTCATATTCATATTCATATTCATATTCATA